ACGCTCCAAGGTTATGCGCCCCAAAGATCCTCTCCCCGCTATGGAAAGATCAGCTGTAGTTTACAAAATCGATTGTAAAAACTGCCGGTGCAACTATGTGGGGGAGACATCCAAACGTTTGAAAACTCGTTTGCACGAGCACAAATTAGCCGTGAAAAGGGGCGATCCACACTCCCAAGTGTGGACTCATATGGCAGAATGTAACCACCAGTTTGACTTTGAGAACACACGGGTTTTAACTGGAGATGCCACCAAGGGGGGCCGGTTAGTCAAGGAAGCCTGGCTCTCTGATGGTGATTCTGTCAATCGCCATATTGACCTGCACCTGACCCACCGGGCACTAAGGAGATGGGGTAAAAGTCATCGATGGACCCATAACAGTCAACCCCGTCGATACTTGCAGAACCAGGGTGATGGCGACACAACCGCGCATGAAGAGACACCAATGGAATCCCGACGATCGGTAGACACCCACTCATCCATCACGTGTGATCGACAACGACCTTCCCCTAGCAAACAGCTGGAAAAATTTTTAGAGGAGGGCAGTAGTTGTAAGTACTTACAGGATTCCCACTCAACTCATGAGAAGACAGTGAATACGGGGGAGAACACCTTCAAGAGAAGGGAGGGAGTGAAGGGAACTTCAGCAGGCAGTAAAGGGGAATGTATTGAAAAAGAAGAGGAGGGCAGTAGTAAGTACTTACAGCAGGCATGTCCAAAGTCCGGCCCGAGGGCCATTTGCGGCCCGCGGACCGGTTTAATCCGGCCCGCTAAGAGCCCTCCCTGCTCTATTTAAATGCGGCCCTCCCACACTTGTCCAGCGGCCCTCCCACACTTGGGCCATTTTGTATTGGTTATAGTACATTCTAGCAGCTGCTTGTTCAAGGACTGGCACAAAAGGCCGTGGCTGAAAGGGTGAGTATGCTTCCAGAAAACAAGGGCTTAAGAATCAGGCTAGAGACGTAAAGGCAGGGGAATCTAAAGCAAAAGAGAGCCTTCAAAAAAAAAAAACCCTCCAAAGTTTTTATGAGACTGGAGGGCTCATCTCTAGGTCCTTCGACCCACCGGAGGCGGCTTACTTTTCTTGACCGGCGCGCGGAGCTGGCGGCAGGCCATGGTGCCGCCGCCGCCTGGGGGCTCAGGCCGCTCCTCGGGGGTCACGTCCTCGTGCCGCTGCTGCTTGAGCAGAGGGTCTGGCTGCCCGCCGGGAGCCGCAGCCGTGACGCGCCCGCCCGCGAGGCATTCTTCCGTCGCCTCGCCGGCTTTCCCGGCTAAAGAACCGCTCTCGCAAGGCCGTCTTCGACCGTCTCGACGGCAGATAAAATGGCCGCGCGCCAAGGCCGAGAGACCTGTTCCTGCCGCTCAGAAACCCCAGGGCGCCTGCGCCCGCCCGCCCACGAGGCATTCTTCCGTCGCCTCACCGGCTTTCCCAGCTAAAGAACCGCTGCCTCAACTCACCAGTTCAGCCGTGCGTGCGAGGCAGAGAAGAGGGACGGACGGACGGACGAGGCGAGGGAGACGCGCCCTGAGGGATGCCCGACAGCAGCAGCAGCGGCGGCCGCTTCCTCCGCCTCCTCAACCAGCGATCCCACCGTCCTGCCCGGCGGCCACTTCCAGGTTGCTTCCCCCCCCCTCGCCTCAGCCGAGGCGAGGGAGACGCGCCCTGAGGGATGCCCGACAGCAGCAGCAGCGGCGGCCGCTTCCTCCGCCTCCTCAGCCAGCGCTCCCGCCGTCCTGCCCGGTGGCCACTTCCAGGCTGCTTTCCCCCCCCTCGCTCGAGGCGAGGGAGACGCGCCCTGAGGGATGCCCGACAGCAGCAGCAGCGGCGGCCGCTCCGGCCACGCCCCTCTCGCATGCAACGAGTCGGGGAAGGGTCATGGTGGTGAAGGGCTGCGCAGCTTGGAAAGGGGCTCCCGCGACCCAGCCGCTGCGATGGAGCTCAGGAGGCTGGAGGGGCGGGCAGGTCCCGGAGGGGTGGCTGGGAGAGGGCAAGAGGTGCCGGGATGATGGGGGCTCCAGGTTGGCAGGTGTGAGAGGGCAGCCGGAGGTTCCGAGGCCCCGGATGTGCCGCCGCTTGGCTCTCCGCCAGGCTCTCTGCCAGAGCCTCCCCCCATCCCCGGGCAATTGTGCGGAGCTGCTTGTGCATCCTTGGCAGCGCCTCCCCCCTTCAATCTCCTTCCTTCTCCAACTCCAACTCCATCCCTTCCCCTTCAATCTCCCTCTCCTTCCTTCTTTCCTTCCTTCCTTCCCCCTTCCCGGATGTGCTGCTGCTTGACTCTCCACCAGGCTCTTCGCNGGCTTGCTAACCCTGATGATGCTGGGAGCTCCCAGCGAAAGCTTGGTTTTAAATTAAAGTTTTAAACTTTTTTACTCTCCTGGTGATCGTGAGTTTTTATCTATTTTATACTATGGACTTACCCAGGAGTCACATCTTCAAGGATATATATATATATATATATATATATATATATATATATATATATATATATATATATATATGACTGGTAATAATGGTAAAGATTTGACTCTTGGGTGCATTCATCTCAAAACCAAAAATATCATTGACCACCAAGAGAAGGTTAAAATATTTAAAAGCATTTAAAACATTAAAAGCATTTAAAACATTTAAAATACAAGGCAACCAAGCTTTCGTCGGGCACTCCCGACATCATCAGGGTTGAAAATATATATATTCAAAATTTTGTGGCTGACAAAGAGTTAAATGGGAGACTAGTATAGCTATTTCAAGCTATACTAGTCTCCCATTTAACTCTTTGTCAGCCACAAAATTTTGAATTTACAGTGTTCACAGTAGTGACGTCTGCCTGCAAAAGATGCTCCTAGACTGGAGTGAAATGCAGAAAAGATTGCTTTACATTTGGTAGACCGGGTGTTCCACCCAACACATTGTAGACGAGGTTGCAAAATACCATCAGATGAAAGATGAGATCCATGCTGGGATACGAAAGGAACATGCCACGGTTGCCCTGGATGAGTATACAAAAAACCTCCCTCATTCAGCGGGGCAGGTATGAGGTCCTGGCCAGTTTTAATAAAAAGCTGAATACGCTGTAACATGTAGCTTTGCTACATCCTGTTTCCTCTCTGATCAGGATAACCCACTTCAATATAACACTTAACCTCTTTCCTTTGCAGTGTTCGTAAACTGCAGTGCTAGGGCCTAGTTGCCCTATTCTTAATTAGGGCTGGGGCATGTTTTTTAACAATCTGACTGATCATAGTTGGGTTATTCCATAATTATATGTATCATGAACGAAAAGTGAACGTGTGAGAAGTGTTGAAAGACATTTTGGGATCCATCATTGCTTAGACATCATCAGGCTTGGAAAAAAATCCTTGTGAAATGGCTACTGTTGAGTATGTCCCATATACAGATATTCTTGTTTGTGAAATTGCAAAACCTTTAGCATACTATAATTGCATGCCATCATATTTAGTTCCCTGTAATACAGATTTTATTACAAATAAGCTCCATGACTGTGGTGTGTTTTATAACATTGGTGGGCTGTGTCGGCTCATAAACACAGCACCATGTGCTCTTGACTGGAGGAGTACAGTTAAGCAAATTTTTGATAAACACAAAACTAAACTGTTCAATCTTACCTGGGAGACGATGAGCCCCAAGAGCTCTATTCTGCCGCCAAATAAATTCAGGCAGGATGAACCTGAATCTAGAAATGATGACTATGGGTCCCTGGAGGGCTGACAAGAGTGGTGGGCAAGAAGCTGAGCCCTAACTTTGTTACTGTATGTGTATACACAAACATACAAAGAGACACTGGTCCAGTTTTTTTGGACAAACGTTCTTATGTACTGGGAGTCATGGCCCCCATACTAATACTCAATCACAAGGCGAATTAGGAGGCGGTTGCAAATCTTCTCAACATAGGTTATAATGTGCTGATAGAAGAGGGAGAGCCCGGGTAGGAGAGAGTGGTGGGCCCTACGTTGGGGCTTTCCTGTGTTTGCATACATAACTGAGAAATAGGGCTGGGAGCATTTTTGGGCAGAGTTGGCTGCTACTCACAGTTTTGTTTTTGCACCAAACTTAGTTTGGAATTATGGCCAAAAATTCAACCTTGGTCTCATCAGATCATAACACATTTTCCCACATGCATTTGTCAGACTTGATGTAGGTTTTTGCAAATTGTAGCTGGGCTTGGATGCTTTTCTTTGTAAGAAAAGGCTTGCCATCCTACCCCACAGACCAGACGTGGACAATATGGGAGATTGTTGTTAAATGTAGTACACAAACAGTACTTGTCAGAAATTCCTGCAGCTGCTCTGATGTTGCTGTAGGCCTCTTGGCAGCCTCTCAGACCAGTTTTTGTCTTGCATTTCAACAATTTTGGAGGGACATCCAGACCCTAGAGAGGCATTATAATGTAAAACCAGTGCAAGTCAATGTTTTGTTTGAAAGTATGCCTACCTGTCCATAAAAAAAGAGAAGGTAAACTAAAGTGGTAGGGAGCTTTCTATACTCCAGTTTTGCATTGGAAAATAAGTTACAAATAGTGAGCATCCTGAATTATAATAATGTTGATGCACTTTTGACTGCAGCTCAAAGAATCCAGAGGAAGCTGAGCTTGAAGATACACTTAACCAAGTGGTAAGTTTCATGTTTATTTTTTCGAAATTTATTTACAAAGATACAGTAATTGTAAACTAACAAGGATAACCTTTCAGTTCTGGTGGGCTTTTAAAAAACATTTGCCATGACCCCTTGTTTTATAATTAAAGCACTTATTTATATGTAATAGTTATACACGATTAGAAACTGACATTGTTCTCAGTTTTAAATTATTTGAAGCAGAAAGTCTGCTTTCACATTGTTTAAAACATCTTTGGTATAAAAATAGCTGTCTTTTGATAAGATAAATATGAAGATGGCTGCAAAAATCTTGAGTTCTGAAAAAAATACTAAAAATCCATGCTTTTTCTAGATGGTGGTCTTCAAGTACATTGAAGACAAAGATGTATTTCAAAAATTCTATGCCAAAATGCTGGCAAAGAGGCTGGTCCACCAGAATAGTGCTAGTGATGATGCTGAAGCAAGTATGATCTCCAAACTGAAGGTGAATTTCCCTTTTCTTTATTGCTCATATTTGCCAGAACCTTACTGTATAATGATGCTCGTAAACTATATAAACGTGTATTGATTGAAAATGTCTGAAGAAACATGATAGCTAAATTAATATTATGTCTATGGAGATTCTCAATCATCCAGGTCATGGTTGTCCCAAAGGTTCTTTTCAAAAGGCAACTGGACTTTCTTGGTTTTTTTTTTTCCTTGAAGACATTTCGCTTCTCATCCAAGAAGCTTCTTCAGTTCTGGCTGAATTGTGGGGAATAGAAGGATTTATATTCCTTAGTAGGCATCTGATCGTTAGCACTCTGAAGGTCGGTCATTAGCTATCTGAGAGTCGTTGAGACCACTTGGGGGTTTATCTGTACCCTCAGGGTCACCTGAATCAGAATGCAAATGAGTGTGGAACCTTCTTGAGACTGCTGAAAGGACTGTGTTGTAGACAGGGGATAAGTGGTGTTGTATCCCTCCCCCTCTGTTGGGAGAGGGCTGTTCAATTTTAATATAGATGGCCTCTGACCGCTCTTTCAAACCAGTGGCCTTCTCTGTCCAGAATGTGGACTTTGCTGTCTTCGAAAGAGTGACCTTTGTCTTTCAAATGCAGATGGACTGCTGAATCTTGTCAGTAGCATCAACTCAGTCACTTACAACATTGCAAAACATCTAACCAAGGTATTAGCTCCTCTGGTCGGCAACAGCACCCATCACTTCAACAACTCACAGCAGGACAAGATTCAGCAATCCAGAATTTGAGAGTCTGCATTTTTTTTCTAGTTGGGGATTATTCAGAACAGCTGTATGTGGAACATGAATATTAATCCATTTAGATCAGTTTGTGACTATTATCAGTTCTCAAAAATCTCTTAAGTAGAACCTTGCTTCTTGAGATAGTTTTAACTAAAACATTAAGCATTGATCCTAGAACCTGTTTTCAAAGTGTGTGTTATGGCCTCCCAAATACACAGAATTTACAAAGTGCAAATGTTTACTTGTGCATGTCTATGGAGATTCTCAGTCATCCAGGTCATGATTGTCCCAAAGGTGCTTTTTCAAGAGGCAACTGGACTTTCTTTGTTTTTCCTTGAAGACGTTTTGCTTCTCGTCCAAGAAGCTTCTTCAAGTTCTGTCTGAATGGTGGAGAAACCATTCAGTCAAAACTGAAGAAGCTTCTTGGATGAGAAGCAAAACGTCTTCAAGGAAAAACAAAGGAACTCCAGTTGCCTCTTGAAAAAGCAACTTTGGGACATTTACTTGCACATGAAAGTAACCCAGATAGCCGATAGACAACAACCATTTGATAGTTTTTTAAATCCTTTTTAGTGGCCACTAAATTTCCAGAAATGATCAGGTGATTGAAAATAATCATTTTATGGACCTTTTGTTGTAATTCCCTCTTTTTTTCAAATAATTTTTATTAATAATTATAAATAAAAAAATAAGTCAATACAAACTACAAAAAGTACAAACAGAAAAATACAAGAAAAAGGGGTGTGTGAATAAGAAAAGAAAGAGAAAGGGGGAAAAAAAGATGTAACTTCCCCCTTCATCCCAGCAGGTAAAAACAAATTTAATAGCTTACCTCTGTTTCTAAACAAAACATAATCTCTCTTTTCCTCATAGCTCATCTCTTAGATAAAGAAAAAAAGGCCAAATGCTATGTCAATCAATCATGGCCAGCAAAAGTCCAGTAAGGGCAACCAGATATAACTATTTTCTTCTTTTAACCCTGGTCAAACAAGCCGATCTTATAGACCTTACTTGAGTTTTTAAAATTATTCTTTAACTCTTAAAAAAATGTCCTACTGGTAGTTTGTTGATCATCTGTGTTTGAAAGCAAAAATCCTTCTGAACTTTAACCAATTTCTTTTGTATCAATAAGTAAATTTATCCTTTCGTTTGTAACTTCTAAAAAACTCTTTCCAAATCTTACTAGAGGTCTCTTATATATCCAGAAGAAAAAAATTATCCAAATCAGTTTCTGGTTTGATATCTATTTATCTCCTTGAGGGAATAAGTCATCCATCAGATCCATTTAAATTCCCCTTCAAATTAATTTCATAGACATCCATTGTAGCTCATTCTTGTTTTACAACTACATTAGAGCATGCTCTGTCAATTTTATCAACCATTTGATCCATTCTGTCCAAAAACATGGCTGAGAGGTAGTCAAAGGTTTGCACTAAGGATTTCTGCCCCATTTTTTTTAATCCTCTCGCTCTAGTGTCCAGCCTTCAAGGTCTCCTTATCATAAAAAAAACAACAACCCCAAAGCAATCTCCATTTTCCCATGAGAAAATTTCTTCTTACCTGAACTCACTGGTAGCCTCACATTGCAATGAACAAGGACATACTTTCAATATCGCATCTACTAAGACTGTTGGCCGAGCACGTACAAAGATAGCCAGGGAAATGTTTGATGCCTGGGAAACTGGCCCCTTGTCAGTTTATTTATTTATTTATTTATTTATTAATTACATTTATATCCCGCCCTTCTCCTTGCGGACTCAGGGCGGCTAACAATTGGATAAAATACAGACATATTATACACCTATTAAAATTGATTAAAAAGAAATATTTAAACTCATCAGATTAAAAGTAATTAAAACCCCTTTAAAATCCCTTAGGCCAGTCCCGCAAGCTGG